TATATATATATATATATATCAGTTATGTCCTTACAGTACAGTAATTGTGTCAGAATTTTTTTTTCTCCGTGTATGTATGACTCACTAAAAAATTCCGATGTTTCAGCGACAATACAATTTAAAATATTTTTCTTCTTTCTATCAAGCAAATTGACTGGCAAGCAATATGACAAATCATTCGATTGGTTGTTTTTATTTTACTATGCTACCGTCGTTGAACAGCCGATCGAATTTTCAGTTTAAGACTACTAATGTTCAACTCCGTATATTTGTTATTTTGAACCCAATCCAGTAGATGAGGGAACTTCTGGAACAAGAATTGAGAGACATTTGCCTTCGTGGAGGACTTTTTGATGGAACTAATCCGTATTTGTGCTACATGGAGAGGGGAACCACGAAAATCTCCCTTGGTTAGCCTGACGGCAAGGAGATTCTTACCCATAATCCGTATACCACTGAGGATACTTTATGTCAACACTATGGTCGGTGCGAGCTGGGTGTGGAATATGAACCAATCAGCCATCGCTGGGTTTAATATTTCGTTATGCTGTAAAAAATGGATATTCATATTTCACTAAGAAACTTTCTTATTTTTTGAAAAAACCGTTTTCTCGTATATATTATCATTACCAAATTTTGCCCCATTTAGTAAATTTTATCACGTACTATAAAACCACACTTTCTTGTTATTTTTGTAAGTTCAAATTTGTTATTTCATATTTCCTGTTATTTCCAAGTCATTATCAGAGCACTTTAGCAAAAATTTCTGAGCTCTGTAGTTTTCCCATTGAGACAGAAGCGTGGTAAATTTTACCTTATTCTGGTAGTTTTGATCATAATTTTTTTTTTCTCAGATTAGGATTGAATCAGTACGAAAATGGATTATTCCGAGGCTTAGGACTCTCCGAGCAAACAATTCGTCGAATTGAGGAAATTACTGTTTTTACTCGTTTTAGATTACGAATTTTGTCAAAAGTATTAATTAAGAAATGAATTCCGTAAATTTACCGAGCTTAATGCAACTTATCAAATGACACAGTTAATAAGTAAATATTGCATGAAGTAGTAAAGGGAAAATGAGAGAATAAGGACTCAAACATTGCTAGAAACCAAATCTGAGTCATCTGCTTAACAAGCACTAATCGCTGCACCATCCGGCCATATAGTAAAAACGGTTTTAAAATTCAATATTACCAAAAATTGTTAAGGAGCTCCTAAAATTGACTTAGAGAACATTTGAGGTAGGAAAAGGTTTCAACAATTATTTAAAAGTTCGCGTTTAGTTTTTAAAAAAATCGCGTAATTTCGTGATAATATTAACCGAATATAGCTAGACAGAATTATCAGAAATATAGCTAGAGGATTGCTGAACTGTCAAAAATGATTGCTTTCTTTAACAAAATGTTTGTTATTAAATTATTTTTATAATTATTACGAAGAAAATGCAATATAATAATAAGGTTTATTTATCTTTAAAAATCATTCGATTTTCTATAAAATTTTAATCTTTTTAGCACTTTTATCGTTTTTCAATTTTATTCTTGTTCCATAAGAAAAATAAAAGTTATACGGATTTTAAAGAATGTAAAAGAGATGGAAATGGTTAAGTTGATGATAGAAATGATAAAAGTAACAGAAATAAGAGAGATTTTAATGATTACTGTTTCATTTGATTTATCTTCCCATTGTATACTTTGTATCGTGCATAATTAGTATCGTAATTTCGCGAAATCTAGTTATAAAAGGGCGAGAGTATAGTTTAGCTTAGCTCCACAGTAAGGTTGTAATAAGTTTAAGCGATATTATGGTTTAAAACAAACCAAAATTTCGAATAGTATAGCCTCAAAAATAATGCTTATTTTTAAGGTTCACTCTCCTATTAAGGTTTAAAAATATAAATATTGCTGTAGAAAGGTTTTTTTTTCAAAGGAAAAAAACATTTTTTTTTAAAATTCTGTAGTGCCAAAATTTAAAATAATGCAATTTTAAATATTATGTCAATTTAAATTTAAATAATTTAAATTAATCTGTTAGAAATTTTAAAGCATATTAAATCAATATAATGCCCTTAATATGCTGCAATCCTTAATATGCTGCTAAATTGAGCTGAATTATTGTGATTACTATACTTGATTACACGATAGTCAATAATATAGTTCAATAGTTAAATTCCATGCAAATTTACTCAGTATTATAGGTTCCAGTAACCGATACAAAAGTTCAAAGTTGTAACCTTTTTTTTTTCCTGTGGTAAGATTATGGTATAGTTTAACTCGCGCTAAAGCAACGACAAATAAATAACTGCTAACATTAAAATAAAGGAAAAACACTAAGCACACAAAGCAATAAAAAAATTTTCTTTTTTGTTTTCTTCAGAACTTTTTCTTCTTTTCCTGTCTGTTGCATTTTTTTTAAATATTTATTTAAAAACCAATAGATTTCTTAAACATTAAAGCATTTAGTTACTATAATAACTCTAGATCAATTCGATGTAAATTTGCTCCGTAATATGTTTTGAGTTAACTACGCTATAGTTAAACGTTGTAACCACTTTTTTCTGAGGTCACGGAGTAATTCAATTCATGTTAAAGTGATAACAAACAAATAATTAATAATAGTGAAAAGAATATTATTAATTATTTATTACGGTATCATTAATTATAATAAAGGAAAAAACACTTTGCATTAACCTCAGTTTTGTAGCAAAATTTTTTTTACAAACCTATAAATTTCATTAACATTAAAGAGTTAAGCTATTATAGTTCAATTCGGTGTAAATTTACTCCGTATTATGGTTTAAGTAACCGATACTATAAGTTCAACGATGTAGCTGATTTTTTCTGAGGTTATGGTGTAATTCAATTCGTACTAAAGTGATGACAAATGAATAATTAATAATATTAATTATTAATGCTATGAATTAATGTTATTAATTATTAATAACATCAATTATTGATGACATTAATTATTAATAATATTAATTATCAACAATATTAATTATCAATAATATAATTATTAATAATATTAATTATTAATTATATGAATTATTAATTAACACTTTTTAATAATTTCTCCAATTAGTTGTGAAATTATTTGATCTATATTTAAAAACCTATATATTTCCTAAAATTAAGGAAGTTAAATTTGGAATTATATGTAATTAATATGCACTATGTGTTCCATTGAAATTAAAAAATTTATCGTTTGCAGATTCATAACTTAAATTAAAGAATCTCTTTCTTATCGTTATTTTGCTAGAAAGTGATGCTCATCGAAGCGTAATTTGTCCGATCCTTGTCTTAAACCATCGCTTGAAGGGGAAAAAAAAGAAAGAGCAATCCAGAGGACTCGAATAATAAAAAAACAAGAACGTTTTGAAAGAAGAGTTCCATTGAAGGTGTTAAGGAAAAGCGAACCTCTCATCCAGTTTCTCTCCTCCACTGTCAAAGTTGTTCTGTGGACGCTTATTCCACAACGTTCACTCCTCCCCATTCGAAACCGGGCCTAATTGCTCGGGCCTGAATCGTTATCGACCCGACTTCTCTCGGCGGTAAGAAACCTTGGCATTCGAATTTCGAACAGCGAGTCGCGTTTCACTTGATTGTTGACCGCCGGCGATGAGAGACACACGCACTCTCTCTTTTTTATTCTTTGTTTACTTTCTCAATCGAATGATTTAAAACATAGGATTTATGTATATTTATCATTATTTAAATATTTATTAATTTATTCAAATGCCATTTTTGATTTGATGTGAGAAAGATAGGAAAATTTTACATTTATTTCAGATATTTGTTTCTCAACTTTGAACACTTTTTGAACTCTTGGATTTATAACTGCTGTTCACCCAATACAGTGACTGTTCTATCTTCGTCCATTTTCAACAGTTCAAACACGATTTATAGAAAACAATTAGAAGATGACGGATTTTTCCTAAAGTGATAATTCTGGCAATGCAGATAGGTGTTATCCATCGATACGGTGATCCCTCATGGACTTAAGCGTTCCAAAGCGGCCCAGCACACCCCCGCCGGCCCCACTTAAGCCGATCTATCCTACATCACCAGTCACCCCACCCGGTCCAGTATCTCTGTCCGGCATGGTCCACTTCGCTGCCCCCGGTGGCGCAGCCGCTTCCTCACCGCCGAGACCCAGCGACTTGGTACCGCCACCACCACCAGCGGGTGCTCTCCTTACATCGTCCGCATCTCCAGCTGGGGTCTCCGTCGAACCACCTACTTTCTCTTCGGGACTACTATCTGGTGAGTACACACACTTTTTATTATTATCTATTTTCAAGTAGCTGATTTATAAGGAATCCGGAAGTTAGAAAGTAATAAAAAGAAGAAAAAAATTGTTTCGTTTATTTATAAGCTAGTGAATAGCATAATTATGTAGTAGTGAATTATAATTGTAAATATTTACACTGAATATTATGCTTAAGCAGTTTTAACATTGACATTTAAATCATGTTTATATGTTAGAAATTCTAATCGGGATTAAAAATATTTCTTCATGTATTCTCAGTTACTTGCTTCTAAATTAATTAATTATTGCATTAATTATTGAATATTCAAAAATAAATTGCTTCATTTATTTATAAAAAAAGAATTGAGTAATCCAAATATGCATTAATTATAGTTTTACATAGTTTATTGTTTTGTAACCATTGTTTTACATAGTTTATGTCATAAAGTTTTAACATTGACAATTTAATTATGTTTATATGCTTGAAATTCTAATCATGTTGTTCAGGATTAATGTTAAAAAAATTTCATGTTTTTTTCAGTTACTTCGTTCGAAAGCATTGACAAATTAAAAAATCAATTGCTCCATTCATTTATTAAGAAGGATTGAGTAATTCAACGATACATTATTATAGTTGTAAATATTTACGGTAAATAAAATTTCAAATCGATTTTATCTTAGGCAATTTAATAATATTTGTACGCTTGATTGCTCCTTATGTTGCTCTGTGAAATACTAATTGAATGATCCATATACATAATAAAAATAACAATGTGTAAATATCACTGCTTTGCAATTTTAATACAGATTATTTAATTATAAGCATATATTTGGATTTCTAATCATGCAGTTCAGGATTAACATTAAAAAAAACATTTCGTGCTTTCTCAGTCATCTGATTTGCAAGTACTAGTGAAGTGAAAAATCAATTGCTTCTTTTTTTCATTAAATTTTTTTTTGAATAATTTAAATAAATATTAATGAATTATGACCGTAAATATTTACAGTATATATAATTTCTAAGCAATTTGAACATGGACAATAAAATTATATTTACAGATTAGGATTTCCAATCAGGAATAATATTAAAAACATTTTTTTATTTGTTCTCAGTTATATGTTCAACCAATGGTAAATTGAAAAATCAATTGCGTCGCTATTTCATATGAAACCTATTAAATAATCTAAATGTATGTTAATGAATTAAAATTGTGAATATGTACATTAAATATAATTCCTAAGCGATGTGAACATCGACAATTAAATTATATTTTTACTATTTATTTCTAATCTTTCAGCTCGGGAGTAATATTATAAACATTTTAGCATGTTTTCTCAATTACTTGATTTTTGACATCAGATCGAAAATAACCATATTCTTGGCTCATTTATAAAAAAAGCTCTTGAATTATGAGAAAATATATTAACTATAATTGTAAAAATTGGAAGTAAATATAGTTCCTGAGCAGCTTTAACACAAATAATTTAAATATATTTTTATAATTAATATATATTTTTATATTGTATAATTAATTCAATTACTTGATTCTTAAGTAATGGTTTTAAAATCCATCGAGTAATTCAAATATGTGACAATAATAGATGTAAATATTTACAGTAAATATCACTCCCGAACAATTTTAACGCATGCAAAATAAATATTTTAACATATTTAAGTTTAAAAATATGTTTTTAGGAATATATTTCAGAATTCTTTTTTTCATAATATATAACAATTATAATTTTTAAATGTATTATAACTAACATTTAGAAATTATGTAGTATTTATGGGGTAAATATATTTTAAGTATCTTTGCACATTTTGATTTTTCATTTTGTTACTCAGGATTCATTTTATAAACTCTTTTTGTTATGTCTTCTCAGTTCATTGATTCGTTTATAATGGCGATTTGCAAAACCAATTGAATAAATAAAATACAACAATACGGCAAAATAATTACAGTAAATACAGTTAATTTACAGTTAACATTGTGTAGTTCACGTATAATTTAAATACATTTATATATTTGGATTTATAAGTACGTTGTTAAGGATTAATTTTATAAATCCTTTTTTCAAGTTTTTTCAGTTAAATAAAAAATTAATAAATAAGGAATAAGGAAGCGAATGTTTATATATATGGAATTCTTTGAATAATCTAAATGTACATTAATTATTTACCCTAAATGAAATTCTTAAAAAATATATACAATTAGATAAATATTTGAATTTTTAATTGTTATTATCACTTTAACGTACTATCAAAAAACAGTTGTTACTAATTACACATAAAATGAAAGCACGCTATCTAATTCACAATATTGCTAGTGATACTCTCTTTATCTTATTCTCAGATTCTTCCTGATAAAGTAGATATTCTTAACTAAAAGAATCAAGCGATTATTAAAAAAAAAAAAAAAACACAATGAAAACGACTTAATTATTTTTCATGGAACATCGCCTAAGTTGCCATTCTCTTTAAAGTAAAACTTAATAAGAGTATTACAATCACTTCAGATCACTTCAATTAATAAATTAAAAATGTAACAATCACGATTAATTTTATTAACTCTTCTTCACATATTTTCAGTCAATTGGGTATAATATGAGAAAAACACAACTACTTCGATTTAGTAGGAACAACATTTGACGCAATGCTAAACGAATAGAATTTAGTTGTTGTTTATTTAGTTATTGTTATTAGTAGTTGTTGTTATTTGTTTTAGTTGTTGATGTTTATTTAGTTGTATTTAGTTTCAATAACTTTTCTTTATAATGCAATAAAATCTGGCGAGCAGCTATTTAAACGATCGAACACTTCGTTTGTTTATTTGTGGCTTGAAGTTAGACTCGCAGAAAATGCCGTTCATGGGTTAAATTTAGTAGGAACAACACAACCTGTGACGTAGGCTATATTATACCCAATTGACTAATAAGTAATGATGAAATGAAAATTGAAAAGCCTCATTATTTGTATATTCTTTTGAAAGTTTTTAAATGACACGACAATTGTAATTTTTAAGTATTCGTAGTAAATATACATCATCAACAATTTTTGACGAAACTAAAAAATTTTTGATGAAAAATTGAGAATAAAGAAGCGAGTTGCATTGTTTATTTATTTGGAAGTCATTGAATAATCAAAATATACAACAATTATAATTGAAAATATTTACCCTAAATGAAATTCCTAAAAAACATATACAATTAGATATATATTTAGATTTTTAATTGTGACAATCACGATTAATTCTATAAACTCTTTTTTACATTTTCTCAATTAATTGACTCATAAGTAATGACGATTTGAAAATTTAAAAACCTCTTCATTTGTATACTTTTTTGAAAGTTTTTGAATGATTCCATTACACAACAATTGTAATTTGCAATTATTCTAGTAAATATACATTTCAAACAGTTTTTAATGCGTACGTTTCAGTTATATTTATTTGTGTTATTTACATAATTTGTCATTTTGTTATCCAGGATTAAATTTCAGCATTTTCTTATGTAATATATTAGCTAACTAAATTCATAAATAAAGGTAAAAAACAAAACTAAACGAATTAAGATAAAACGAGTGGTAAAGGAAAAAAAATTAATTCACTTAAAACTTATGTTCATATTAGTTATCACGAAGTTATAAGGTTATAACGATTTAGATAATTGAAAAAAATAGTTCTGAATGTACTGAAAGCATAATCATAACTATTTGAATTAATTATAATTAATAAACTTAAAGACATTACACTTAGATTTAAAATGATAAAGCTAAGTTTAGTTTGGTCATATTATCTCCATATGCATGAAAAATAAAATATTTTTTTTTTTAAATTTAATAATATGTAGTTGAATAATTTGATAACTTGTTAATAAGTTCAATGCTTTTTTTAAATATTGTTGATAAAATATATAATATTGCATGCTTGAAAAAGATTAATACAGGTTTTATGGAAAAAATGAATACCAAAGTAAAAGATATCTTTTACGACCAACCTTCATAGAAGCACAACCCCCGATTCTAACTGTAAAAGTTTTATGGGTAAAAAAGTAGCAAGTCAGTTGAGTTTGTATAAGTTAGGAACATATTTTTTCATTGTCTATGTTTAAAGTTCCATAACTTAGAATTTGATTGTTTAGTAAATTCATATTTTAACAATTTCACAATGTTAAGATATTAAATTCTACACAGCATATTATTTTCTTAAAAAAATTGCAATTTAGTATTTTAATTAACAAGCTATTTTGTTGTTTTAAGGAAGTCCTTAGATCACTTACAGGTAACAAAAATGGATTAAGTGAATCATTTAAAAAATGCACACTCGAGAATTATTATTATTATTATTTTTTTTTTTTTAAAGTGAGGATAGAATGAAGGAGATAAATAGGTAGATTGATAGATTATATATTCAAATTACAAAGCACTGTTTTAAGTACTTAATTCAAAATTGAAGGTCATCAATTAGCAGACTTCCTAGTATCGTTTCAATAATTTAAAACTTTTTTTTTTTATGACCACAATATTTATACAATTTCTTTCATCTGTTTTGAAATGTTGATTACAAATTAAAACAGATAGCAATGTTCGTTCTCATATGAGTTATAATATGCAAAAAAATGGAATAATTTAAAATGCAGCATTTTGATTGATTAATGTGTAATTGTGACGTAAGAAACATATTTTGGCTATACCACTCTTAAAACTAGGTTTAAATAGTTACTTGGCTAAAACTGAAACGTCTTATCTAAAATCAGGTTAGCACTGCTAAAATTATTTTGAGAATCAGCTCCATAAATAACGCTTCAGAGATCAGAAAACTCAAGAACAAAATATTGCTAAAAAAAAAGGAAAAAAAAACTTTTTTTTCGTAATAACCTAATTGGAAATTATTTGTTATATTTTAAATTAAAAACTTTATATTTTTAAGCACTGTTGATCTCTGTTAAATTTTATCTCTTGTACAAAAAAGAAGTATCAGAACTCTTTGCTCCATTTTAAATTGTGTGAAGTCTT